AAGTCAGAGACTTCACATGAGATTTGGACCATCTTGTGGGGGAAAAGCAGATTACTTCCTACTCGTGAGCGCCCCCTCTGGTGGGGAAACGCTTTTCAGGGATAAAAACTTTTTCAGAACACCGGTAGACGGCAGCCATTACAGATGAACATGTTTGTTGTTGTTCCAGGAGCAGCTCAGTCACACGCTAATGTCATTAGTTTGTTATCATTACTGAGCTGCAGGACTGATTTTTAACCCTTTATTCACATCATGTCTCCTGCCTGGATCTGTTATTATCTCACTCTGAAGCACAGAGGAGTGTCAGAGGTGAGCTGGCTTTAGCTGCTTTTTACGACACGGTCTCATTTCTGGACTCATGCATTTTGTGAATGAAGCCGATATTTCAGTTAAAATACATAAGTAAAAATATTTATCCGAGCATAGTACTACCCCCCAACTTTATGGATGATTTTATGGATTAAATTTTACGTACTGTATTATAATTGAATAAATATGGTATGTCTAAATTGAGCTGTCTGCAAATAGTACATTTAAATATTATGCAAATTTCCATGATCATAAAAATATCAGTGCAAACATTCAACAACTCATCTAATCCCGTTTGTTCTGGTTAACATTAATACTGCTAGGCTCAAAATAACTGTCTCCAACATATCTAATATGATTTATTGTTTTTACACCAAAGTCAGTCAGCTGGGTCTCATTTGAAAATTTACTTTTATCATCTCCATTCTGGTTAGAATAGAATATTTTCATCTGCTTTTACACTACATTGCCAAAAGTATTGGGGGTCGCGGGTCAGCTGTGGTCCCAGGACTTTGCTGGCCAGTGGAATTGATCTTGGAGAAGCTGATAGATCAGCTCGGTGGAATTTGTTCACATTATTTGTCTGATTGGATTCACCACCTTGAGATGTACCAGCAGAACTCTAAAGCAGATGGAAAATTGTCATCATCTGCCTGTCTCTTTCTGTTCCCAAAACAACTGATTACAGAATCTGGCTCTCCCCGACAACGGCCTTGAGTTGTTGACTAAATTCTTCCTGGCTGGATCATGTCGATAAGGCTCTGCCCCCCAACTCCCCCTCCACCAAACTTTACACTTGGCACAATCCAGTCAAACAAGTGCTGTTCTCCTGGCAACCACCAAACCCAGACTCATCCATCAGATTACCAGATGGAGAAATGTGATGTCACTCCAGAGAACACACCTCCACTGCTCTAGAGTCCAGTGATGACCTCTTTGCACTCTGTGCTTCAGCATCCTCTGACCCCGCTCTGTACGTTTACGTGGCCTACCACTGAGTGGCTGAGTTGTTGTTGTTCCCAAATACTTCCATCTTCTTATAACACAGCTGACGTCGGCGTCTTTTATCGAGGCTTTCCAGAGACAAGTCCCTACTTGGGAGCAGCTACGTATGCTGTGTTTTTGGGAAATTGTAGTCGGTGAGTTTACTAATTTATACTACTTCTGTGATATTACTACTACTTCTACTTCCTGTTATCTTCTTCATCATCGTCTTTTTCACCAGTAGAAACAGMYGGTTGTTGATCACGTGACTCCTGTGATGTGAAAAAACTGTTTCCATTGCAGTTTTGTGAAAAACACCAATTTAGATACGGCTGAAAAACCACCTCATCCTAGTGCAAAAACATTTTGTCGAAAATGTAATTTTTTTCTAAATTGACGTGTTTCCATTGAGCAAATTTATTTTAGAAATTCTAATTTGCGTATTTTCATGGTCAATGGAAACACACCCAATGAAGGCAAAAGTGACCCAAATCAGATTTTTAATGACAGTCTGAATGTGACAAATCAGATTTTTAATGACAGTCTGAATGTGACAAATCAGATTTTTAATGACAGTCTGAATGTGACAAATCAGATTTTTTCAAATCCGACCCAGGTTTTTTCAGTGTGTGGTTCTAAATCAGATCCATTTCTGATGTTTTTTCAAAGTGATCACTCGTGTTGCATTCCATCTGACATCACTAAGCTGCAGGAGAGTCTGTTACTGCCAAAAAATAAGCAAACCTGGACCCCTTGAAAAAGTTAGTTGAGCTAAAAAGTTTATAATTTACATGTACTTTAAGTTAGATTATCAACAAACTTCAAAAAAATTCAGTATAAGCAGAAAACTGAACTTGAGCTTTATGACCTGCAGTGTGAACCTGTTTGGTTTTAAACTCAGGATACATAGAGGTGCAAAACAAACGAAACCTGGATTTATTTCCCGATAGTTTCCAATCCCGTAGGCGTCAACGATGTTCTGGAAGCCTGATGTGAACTTGTTGGTCTTGTTGAAGGTAGGTGGAGTCTGCTTGGTCTGCATCCTGTTCAGGATTGAAGGCACCGTGGAGCCACTTCTCTCCTGTCAAACACAGTGTTTCAGTTGTGGGCTGGGGTAATGTTAAACTGCTCTTACTGTCAGCACTAATGCACCGACACTTACTCTCACTGGGAACCAGCTGAGTGGTGGAAACAAAGTGAAAGTGCAGATGATGAAATGTTATGTGACCGCATCACAAGAACAGATCAAAGAGAAGCTCACTACTGCTTCCATGTCAGTGGCACAAGGCAGAGATAACAAATAAACCCAGACAAGTTGATTAAAAATAACTGTAAATGAGCCATCTTTCCCAGTTTCTGTGCAGCTACGGCTCAGTAAAAGACAGAAGCAGACGTCTCACCGTTCCTCGGCGCAGAGCAAACTGGATGGAGTCGAGGTCTGAGACGGGACACCACACCTCAGCAATCAGACACTTCTGAGTCACGTCAATGTTGCACAGGTTGAGTGTGTGGTAGATGGCCTTCATCTTCCTCACCTTGATGAACCAGACCCTCATGGTCCTGGAGGCGGCCTGGAGCACTCGCTGGCGGTGGTCCTCCGTTTGGTTCAGGACCTGCAGCATTAATACGTAACAACTTCAGGCACAGCTGTGTGTACAAGAGGCTGCACACAGTGTTAAACACACACACACACACACACACACACACACACACACACACACACAC